GGGTTCGCGCCGCGGGCACCAAGTTTCGGGTCAGCCGTGAAGGCGCGGGTGGCCGGCCGGCGTGAGAGGGCAGGCGCGGAGGGGCGCGGGAGTCGCAGGCAAAGTTTGGTTGAGGCACAAGAGGGTACAGAAGATTTCTAGACAAAGAGACTCTTAAAGGTGCAGAGACTAGTGTCTGGCCCTCCTCCTTAAAGGGCCAGACACTCTCCGAGCGCCACTCCTTCTTCCCAGCCCTCCGTCTCCCCGGATCCGTAAAGGAAATTTGCGCGAGTGCCGCTTACTCTGCGGCTTACCTTTAATATGTCTCACCGCTCCACAGAGGCCTTTTCCACTCCTGCTTGTTTTTTGGTTTTGTTGTTTTCTTTACGGTGCAGCGGCAGCCAGCGAACCATGGAGTTTCCCCGGGGCAGCGTTTGCAAAAGTTACTCTTGGCGCCCAGACAAGCACACACGTGTGGACTTTTACCACTGACGACCCAGGCGGGATTCAGCTGTTTTATGAAAATCCTCTTCAACGGGAGAGGGGAAAGATCGTTGTTGCTCCCAAATGGGGCCTGGGAAATAAATCAGACCGAGGTGGCAGTGGTCCTAAGGACTTCCGAGAAGGATGAAGTCCATTCTGAAACAGAAAGGAAAGACTGGCTTGCAAGGTAGGCAAGCTTCCTGGGCACACTGTCCTGACAAACCTTCCAGGGAAGGATCCCTCCAAATAAGATAAAGTGTTAGAACACCCAAGACAAGGCTAAGACGGGTAAAGACATTTTTAATTTAAGAAATAAATATATTATATGCTACAGTGGATCAAGGCTTTATGTCTGTAAATATGAAATAAGGAAGCAAAAAAGGCAAAGATTAAAAAATAAAGCCGGACATGGTAATCAAAGCAACCAGGAGACAGAGGCAGCAGGATGGCACTGAGTTCTTAGTCTCTAAAGACTGCATGGTGAATTCAGGGCAGTTTTAACTAAGTAACAAGACCATGTCTGTATTGTAGCCTAGGAGGAAAGGGCCTGCTGGGAGAGGACGGGGGCCCTAGGTTCAGTTACCTTGGTGGAGGCATGTCACCTTTAACAGTTCTCTTTATGGAATTCTAAGGTGTAACTCTTTACCTTAAGTGAATGCAATAATAAAAATTTAAAGGCTGTTTTTCCTTCTCTTTTCCAGTTCCCAACAACTTTTCTTGGAGAAGACAATTAAGCATCTTATTCAATGTTCCTAACAAGGTGCTTTTCTGAGTGAGGAATCTGGAAGCCACTTAAAATTTGAGGAAGTTGTGTGCTCAGCCTAGCTAGAAGGAAAAATAGTCCCACCACTGTGAGCACACATTACATCTGTGGCTCTCAAAGTCTGTCGCCAGAGGTTCTCTGAGACCCAAACTAGTTTTAAAATAACATTGGAAGTAATCGCTCTTTGTTGTGGGAATGTCATTTACACAGCTAATAAAAAGAATGTAAGGGCAAAGCATGACGCTCAGTGGTAACGCACTTGCTGCTGAGCCTGCCTCTCCAGGTCCATCCCCTGGACGCACACGGTAGAAAAGCACAGGCTTCTGCAAGATGTCCTCTGACCTCCCGACAGTAAACACAACATACATGCACACACACACACACACACACACACACACACACGCACACGCACACGCACACACGCACACACGCACGCACGTGACTTAAGGTTAATGCTGGCAGGATGATTCAGCCTATGAAGCACTTAGCACCAAGCTTGACAGCTGGATTTGATACAGGGACTACATGGAGGAGAAATAATTCCCAGACATTGTCCTCTCACAGCCGCATGCCTGTGCCCAGACACAAATACAAATTGTGAATGCAATTTTGAAAAAGTTTTAAAAAAGAACAATGAAGTTGGGTGGTGGCGGCAGCAGCACACGCCTTTAATCCCAGGAGGCAGAGGCAGGGGGATTTCTGAGAGTTCCAGGCCAACCTGCTCTACAAAGTAAGTTCCAGGACAGCCAGGGCTGTTATACAGAGAAACCCTGTCTTGAAAAACCAACAAACAACAGAAAACAATGAATACAGAAAACAATGAATACAATTGCTGTTGACTTACCACAAAGGCACAAATCAGTTGCAAGAAACCAAAGTAGCGTCCAAGTGTTCTTTGATGGCACAATATAAAAACAACTGTTCCACTTAAATCTCAGGTTAAACACTAAAAGTTATTAGTTCTAAGTAGACATCCCCCAGGTATGGTGGCACACACCTAGGATCCCAACACTGAGGTCCATGCAAGAGTTCAAGGTCATACTCAGATCCATGGAGAGTACAAATCAATCTAGTAAAAATAAAATAAAATAAAATAAAAAAAAGCCCAAGCAAACCCCAAAATTCTATTTTGTTTGTTGTTTTTTTAAGGCAGGGAAGATCCTCGAGTTGAAGGTACATAATGTGTTCTACACAATCCTGGGCTACAGACTGGTCTCTATCTCAAACTCTAACAACAAAACCCCAAAACATTTCTCAAAATAAATAAAATATTACAGATTATATATAGTCCACAGATGATCTATACAACCGTGGCTCATTTACCTTGTTCCAAAAACTACACCCGTATTATTAGGACAGGGGAGCAGGGGGTCACTGAGTATTGGAGGCAGGTCTTGAGTATATAACAGCCTGGGCCACAGGAAGATCCCTTGTCTCTAAAACCAAGCTAGAACACTAACATCAGCCAAACATGGGGAGCCACACTGCTAATCCCAGCACTCAGAATGGATCTCTGTGAATTTGGGGTGAGCCTTGCATACATTGCCAGTTCCAGGACAGCCAGAGGTACACAGTAAGACTGTCTTAAGAAGAAAGCTGTGTAACAAGTCATTTTCTCTGGACCCTCCACAGTTCTCATTCTCTAACACAGAACATTCTTTGTATCAAGTGAATTGTACCCTGCTACTAAGCCATGAGTCCACAGCCTCCCATCATTTCTTCCAGTCTGCTGTCTGTCTTTTGTGAGATAGGTTCTCATTCTATAACCCAGGCTAGCCTTCAACTTTTGCATCTGCCTCCCTGTGGCCAGATTACCGTCATGTGCCTCAATGCCTAACTTCCCACCTTAAACATCCCAATCCATCATCATCATCAGAACTATTAAGAGCCAGAGACAGGCTAGAGAGATGGCTCAGTGGTTAAAAGCACTGGCTGCTCTTCCAAAGGACCTGGCTTTGATTCTAGCACCATATGGGTGCTCACAACCATCTGTAACTGTGCCCTCTTCTGGCCCCTGTGGGCACCAGACATACATGTGGGACACAGACATATATGCAGACAAAGCATAAAAAAAAAGAAGATAAAGTTAAAAGAGAAGCCAGAGACAGCATCTCCATGTTCACAAAGCACAATATATTTATTTCCCTTTCAATATCTCTACAATTCCACTATACAGAAAGCAGGCTTTCTTCCCATTATACAGGTCCAACCCAAAGAGCAAATTCGATTTAGTTAGGCCCAGTGGTACAGCTAGTTCCCAGTCAGCCGTCTCCTAACCAGTGTTCTCACCCCTTTGACTGGCAGCCCCGGCACACCTGTCCCAAACCCAGCCTTGCCTTTCCACACAACAAAAGATCCCCACTGTTAGATTCAGTTCCAGGACAACCTCGGTGACATAAATGTACTCTCCAAACTTTCCTTTTGAAGTATTTAGTGTGTATGCGGGTATGTGCGCACATTAGGAGGAAGTACACACACACACACACACACACACACACACACACACACACACACACACACACACACACGGCATGCCGTACCCGGACCTGTGACATCAGCACATTTGTGGGCTTGCTTCTTTTTCCACCTTCCTTGCACTGAACTCAGATCGCTTGGCTTGAGCAGCAAGTACCTTTACCTGGCAAGCCATCTTGCAGGCCTTAAATTATTTATTTTTGTTTTTTTAAGACAGTATCAGCCGGGCAGTGGTGGTGCACGGTTCTTTAATCCCAGCACTCAGGAGGCAGAGCCAGGCGGATCTCTTTGAGCTCCAGGAAAGGCACAAAGCTACACAGAGAAACCCTGTCTTGAAAAACAAAACAAAACAAAAAACAAACAACAACAAGAAGACAGTGTCTATATAGTCCTGGATGTCCTGAAGCTCACGATATAGAGGCTGGCCTCAAACTCCGAGTTCCTCCTGTCTCTGCCTCCTGAGTGCTGAAATTCTGGCTGGTGTTCTCTTTTTAATGGACTCCAAAGAAAGTTCAGTATACTTTACATAACCCTTAAAAATGAGCCTGTGTGCAGGTAGAGAGATGGCTCAGGGGTTAAGAGTGTAAAAGTCTCTTCTTGAGGAACCCAGTTAAGTTCCCTGCATCCAGGCCAGCAGGTTCACAATTGTATATGACTCCGGCTCCAGGACATATGCCCTCTTCTGGCTTCCTCAGGCACTGCACTTACACACACACA